TTATATTTTATGGGTAACTTTTTTATTTTTTTTCAAGATTGACAGGGGAGGCTCTGCCTCACCTGCCTCCCCTGACCGCACGTCACACTCACATACAGTAGTACAAACACAAATAGACACAAGAACTTCTGCCAAAATATAAAAAAAATATATTTCACTAAATATGACACCTTCCCACTTAGAGGAATTCTTCCAGAACAGTAAACTCACTGAATCACAGATAGTCCAGCTGCACTAACCACGTCTTTCCATTATTTGTCAAAAACTGTTTAGTAAACTTTTATAACAGTAAATAACTACTTCACTACTTTTCCCAGTAGATAGATTAGATAATGTGCCAAAATACAGACAAATGTATATCTGAGCAAAATTAGGCAATCTTAATTTACATGTATTAAGTCTTTGTCTATATAAATATATTCTATATATACAAAATATATTCTTTAAAGGAAAATATTACTCTTAAAGCAAATCTGACATTTAAGAGTTTGACATGCCTTCACTGGACAGTTAGATGAGAAGATTAATGCCACATTACTGTCCCTGCAGTACATGAAGCCAGCACAGCCAGCAGCCAGTTAGCTTAACTTAGCATAAAGACTGGAAACAGCTTGGCTCTGTTTAAATGTAATAAAATCTGCAATGACAGTTCACCATTTTATGAAGGTTTATGTGCCATCTATTCACTATCTCAAACACAAACAACACTTAACATGCTAATTAATAAGCTTTAGAGGTGCTACTGGATGTTTCCTTTTTGTTTTTTTGCTAAACTAGCCTGCTTCTGGCTGTAGCCTTATAATTACCAGAAAGATATGTGGTATTAATCTTTACATAACAAGACAACTAGAACCTTCTGAACTCTCAGGAAAGCTCCTGTGCTAAAAACAGCCTGACAGGATGTCCGCTCTCTATTGTCTTCCCTCTGTCACCTAATCACCCCCCACACAACAACACTAGGATTTAATTTCCTACTCCTGTCCTCGGGGGCCAAATGTGCACCAGAGGCTTTCCTTGTAGATATAGGAGGATATAATTATACCAGGAATAGATACTTTAATAAGCTTCTAGTGGAACTAACTAGGAATCATGTTGTCTTCACAAGTTTGGCAGACTACTGAGAAATTGATAAAAACATTTTAACTACCATCACAAAGCACTACTGTTCTGGTTTACTCAGCCTGTCTGAAATCTTTGCAAAGTAGGACAATTTACACAAGCATCTAGCAATAACATTTCTTTCAGTCCAAAATGTGAAAATGTTAAATATAACATATAGCAAGTAGCAAACTGTCACATTTGAGAAGAAGCTGGAACTACATAGTTTTTCAGATTTTTGTCTTTAGAAATGATTTAAACAATTTTATCAGTTATCAAATAGTGTGTCAAACAGCTAAGGTTCCTCTCTTCTGTTCTGTTTCTTATTGATTGTTTTTGTGAGTTAATCAAACAGCCAAAAGAAACTTTATCAGCAGCTGTTTTGATAATTATTTAATCATTTTTTGAGAAAAACTGCCAAGCTGGTTCCAGCCCTTCAAATGTGAAGACTTGCTGCTTTTCTTTGTCATAACTGATGGTAGATGAAAAAACTGGACAAAACAAGCAATTTAAGGATGTCACTTTGGGCTCAGAGAAGCAGTGAGGGCCATTTTTAAACTACTTTTAATGGCGATTAATCGAGAAAATAAGGGCCAAATTAATCACTAATGAAAATTATTGTCAGTTGCAGTTTTATCATAGTTAGCTCTATATTAGAGCTGAAATGACTAGAGCAAATGTCAGTTAATTAATCAGGTAAGAATATTTAGTTGTAGTCCTAAAACAGATGTAACTGAAGGTAATAGGATGGGTAAAGGAAAGAAGATAAAGAGTGACAGGAGGTGTCTGTTTGTGTGTGTGTATTGCAAATGTAAATGGGTCTTATGGAAGGTTTCCTCTGAAAAGGGTGACTGTCCATAAGGTTTTTACTCTGTGGGAGATAAACAGACAAACCTACATTAGTTCAATGCTGGTTTCAGTTACATAAGAGCTTTTTTTAGGCATCACACACCATAAGGCAGTGAGGAGGCCATGCATAGTATCTTTTCTCTCAGTATCCCTCACTTGTGCCTTCTGTTCACAGTGACTGTACGCTGTACACAAATACACAGTTGCACACCTAGTAAGACAGGAGACACACATACACACTTGCCCACACTCTGCAGTGACTTCCACCCCCTGCATTGATGAGGCATCCCCCTCTCCCCTGTGAAACTGGCACGGCTCAACTTCCTCTTAGCACAGTGCCTCAGCAAACACTGTTCTTATAGAAAGCCAGACTGCAGCAGATATGGCTTTTCTTATTTTTTCTGTATATTTAGGGTGATTATGTAAGCAGGTTGCAACTATTACCCTATCCACACAGCTCACAACACATTTCCAAGACAGAGCAGTTACTGTAGCTGAGAAGTGACACTAATGGTTGTCTTTATTTTATTTGTTATGGCTGCAAATAATGATTAATTTTATTATCGATTTATCTTCAGGTTATTTTCTTGATTAATCGATTAATAGTTTTGTATACAATATGATTCAAAATTGTGAAAAATGTCTGTCCTCTGTGTCTCAGAGATCAAGGTGATATCTCATGTGTCAGTTTATAAACCAAAAATGATTGGTTTACAATGATGTGGAAATATGACACCTCAAAAAGCAGCAATTCCTTGCCTTTATATTTAAAAGAAACAGAAAATGTGGTTGATTTTGTGAGTTTCAGGTGAGCATCACCCCTGCACTTGGTGGATTGAATCCAGGCAAAATCAAACTGATTGTAAAACTGTTTACCTGCTCAATAGGGTTACCACTCTGATCTGTCTGAACCAAATTAACAAGTATACAAGACAAAGAAACTACCATGAACTCTACCTGAATTCTGTCAAATTTCACATCAATGCCATTAAAAAGGTCAATCCACAGAGGTCCCACCCTTCATTGACTACAAGTGCATTAATCTATTAGTGAACTGACAAAAAAAACAAAAAAAAAAACAATGTGCAACAATAATTTCAGTCTTCTTTCAAGCATGAACACCAAACATTTGTTGGTTCTGGCTTCTCAAACGTGAGCATTTTCTGCCTTTCTCTCTTTTACATCATTGTATACTCAGTATATTTGGGTTTTGGTATGTTGGTAGAAAAAGAAAAGCAAATTATGATATTGTACATAATATTCTGATATTTTATAGAGAAAATTATGAACCAATTAATAGTTGGCACTTTAATCAATGATGAAAATAATCATTAGTTGCAATCCTAGTTGGATTGCCAATAATACTAATTCACAAATCTCAATAGCAATAGTCTCACTTTCAAAATCTTACAGATCATAAGTTTCAGGTGAAATAAGTCATTATAGGAGGTTTCTCCTATGTGTGAATATATATCTCATGGTTCCGATACAGTATTGGGGGATTATTTAACCAACTGCCATAGGTTCGTGGTAATACAGTAGCTTGGTTATGTTTCTCAAACTGGTGTCCTTGTTTGTCTTTGGCTGTGGGACCTTTCATTAATGTAGACTTGGATCATTGGGAGTCCACATGCAAACTGTGGATTATAGGTTCGTGGTAATACAGTAGCTTGGTTATGTTTCTCAAACTGGTGTCCTTGTTTGTCTTTGGCTGTGGGACCTTTCATTAATGTAGACTTGGATCATTGGGAGTCCATATGCAAACTGTGGATTTCAGGCCGCAGTTGTCCTGTGGGTAATGTTTGTTTGTTGCTCAGGCCTGTCATTCACTGCCTGCATCACTTTGTTAAAGAAGCTCTCTCAACAGATTTCACACTGGTGAAAAGCTGCTTAACTACATCAAAACAGGATGGACAGATAGTGATGTCTTGGTAACAGTGCCACCACCGTCACTAAAACAATGGATGAGAGGGGGGCTTCATTTACAGTTGTTACCTGGCTCCAGGCTGAATGTGTTGTTGGGATGGTAAACAAGTTCTTCAGCACTGAAACAAACAACTTAACTCAATGCTCAATACAAAATGTTGACCATGACAGCTTAGATGGCTTTTAAAGTGTCATCAGAGAGGTGAGAGGAGATCATAGCCTTGTGCTTTGCAAACATTCAGTTTTATTAAACTGTGAGCAAGTTAAAAATAGAAGATCACAAATCTCACCTGATGTGTCCCACAGGCTGAGCTCGACACGCTGGTCTTCAAGCTCCAGACAGGCTGTGTAGTTCTCAAACACAGTAGGGACATATGTCTAGAAATGAACAGTTGAAGGGAAGGACTGCATAACTTGTCTTTTGAAAATCACAAATCCACATGGAAAATCATCAGATCATCAAATATATATAATCACAAGTTACAGTGAGAAAGTTACTGAGTCTGACCGATAGCAAAAAGTATAAAACAAAAGACAAGCATCTATTCATATGAAACATTCTTATTTTAAAATGACTTAGCTACACAACAAATCAACTCACTGGTTCCTCAAACATTTTATTGCACAATCCAATAAGTTTATAGAGTGCACAATATTAATATATGTATATGCACCAATAAGAGCTTAAAGAATTTATACCAGGTAGCACTGACATACTATAGAATACTGTAGGAAAGCCTTAAGCTCTTGTGAAGGTTTTAAAGGACAATTTATTCATTATTGCAGACAAAACAATGAGATTATGTTTATTTTCCACAACAAATGATCCTAAAATACACACAGACATTAGAGTTGTGCAGGAATCTCGTACCTCTGGGTAGCAGTCCTTGGCCAAGACTTGGAGCATCGCTGTTTTACCGCATTGGACATCCCCAACCAGCACGAGTTTACACCTCGATACAAAAGGCTGCGTGAGTCTTCTTTCCTTCATGGTGGAGGTCAATCAAACGTGGAGATTATCAGAAGGGACGGGAGGGAACGGAATAACGATAAAGTTTAGTAAATCTTTGTCCTCTGTCCTAGTTTAGTAAATCCTCCCTATCTGTCGGTGTGTCAGTAAGGCTGAACACCGTCAATGAGAGAATCACTGCGGAGTTTATATTGTCGCGCCAACCAATGAGCTCTGCGTCCAGAGGAGAGGGAGGGCACTGCACAGGAGCACGTCTTAATGTTTGGGAGAACATATGATGCTGAGCTGCAGGGCTCAAGTCTCCTACAATCCAAACTGCGCCACCTAAAGCAGAGTCGCACCTCAACTCAAAATTCTCATTCATCAGCGATTAATGAGTAAAATATGAGGTCCAGGAATATGACTTGGTGATGGACCCAGCATGTCAGCGTGGAGAGAGGAGGTTTTCGGTAACATTGCTGACCTCACACTGAAGGTTGAGTCAGGAATGGGCCTGAATGTTAAGGTACTGGTAGGTACTTTTGGACAGGGAACAGCTTTTCAACCCAGCACACTTCATAGCTAACCATCCTGCCTGTAGATTCATATTTATCACACAAATAGTTATGTTTTTTATTTTCCTAATGCACATTCCTTTTTCTTGTTTGCACATCCTTTTTCTTTTCTTGTTCTCTCAGCCTTATCTTGTTTACTTGTTACCAGAGTCAACACACGTGTCCATTAAAGCTGATTCTGCAAAAAATAAAAAGTTAAATAAAAATAAATTAAACTGTTTCTTTAAACCACACAAATCGAGTGGTATTGTTCTTCTTTATCTAGCTCTCTGTGCAATAAAACAAATATTGTCAGTGCTATCCCAAACTCCTTTAAGTAAACACTAGAACCTGATGAAAGTTTGAGTGCAGTGACATTTAAGTGTTATTATTTATTTATTTATTTATTTGTCTCTGGCTATAGGCCTAAATCTAACTTTGCTCACAGCTGCAACAGAAACTAATACTCACCAAGAGATATGATTAATGCATTCCATTCCATTGCTTTTGCTCTTCTTTTGGCACTTTGTTTGTGAGTGTAGTTTGTGTTTGAGCACTATGCAGTGAAGTCAGAAGTCATCAGAAAGCACATAATCTGTTACCTGACTTGTGTGAATAGTACTATTTATGGTGTGTATGGGTGGTATCTTCCTTACATGGTTTTAGATTTTTTTTGCCCTTAAAACCTTGTAGTATCTCAGTTCAGAGGTCATTTTGGTCATATAATGACAGTATAAGAAATTCAAAGGATGGCATACACAAAAATCAGAATTTGCTCTAAATGTCTGTCTCTTAGTGTTTAGTGGATATAGCCATGTGATACATAAATGATTTGCTATTTGAACATACACATACAATTCTTTGCAACTTAGGATATCACAAGTTGCTGTACAGTAAAACATAAAAAATAATAAAAATAAATAAAACACATCTACACAATAAAACAAACAGGAAAAATACATCATCAAAACAAATACATCAATCAGTGAAGTTGTTAAAAGCTTGTGAATACAAATGCATTTTAAGGAGTGATCTAAAAACAGTCAGGTTCGGAGCAGATCTAATATCCCGTGGCAGACCATTCCACAGTACAGGAGCCTGAACCGAAAAAAGCTCGGTCTCCCCAATGTTTCAGCTGGACTTCGGTACTTCCAGGAACAACTAGTTAGAAGACCTAAGTGTACTCTCTGGAGCATAAAAACGCACAAGCTCAGAGATATACGACGTTGCTAGACCATGTACAGCCTTGCTCTTTAGATGTTATCCACTGTGCATGTAAAATAGCTTGTTGGTTTAAAGGAATAGTTCGACATTTTAGGAGACGCATTAGTCTTACAGGGAGTTATGCCATCACTGTGAGGGTTCCAAGGCAACCAGTGTAGGCAGACACTACACCCTGCCACTGGGCACCAATAAGTTGTTACAGTGCCTAAATCCCTGTAAAACTACAACTTATCCTGTTTACATTATGTGTGTATTAAACAAAGAATATACAACATGTTACTCAGTGAGCTTTAAAAGTGCTGGTAGGTGTGTTTTTAAAACAGGCTAACTGCTAAGCTAAGCTAATTGACTATCCTGTTTATGCACAGACATGAGAGTGGGATCAATTTTCTCATGTAGTTGTCAGAAAACAGTAAATAAACATATCTCCCAAAATGTCAAACTAATCCTTTAAGGATAAATTTACACTATCCTGACAACCATGTTTTGTCCATTTGAATTTACGTAACATCAATAAACACAATCATAATGCATGTTTGAGAGGTTTCCTACTGACCTATGATGGCGCTATGAAATGGTGACATACAGTAATTTGCTCATCTGAAGATGACTTTTATTAAATCCCCAAACTATGACTTCTTGTGTAAATCTAGCATGATGACTGCTGGCCAGTGTGCACCATGGACACCTGACATTTAATTTTGCTAGAGTTGGTGTGCATGAATGTGTGTGTGAGTGTACGTAAGTATGTCTTCATGCATAATGAGCCACAGGAAAGCTCAAGAACAGTTTGAAAATAGCCCCAACTGGCCATTTTTGAACTAATAGCTTTGCTTTACCTTATGACCTGCTGCACATAATGTGTGTTAATATGCACTGATAATATATTATGGGAAAGTGGATAGATATGGAAAGACAGCAGCCAATAATCCCAAGTCCATTTCTAAGAAGACCAACTAAAGAAAAAGATCCCCTAAACCTTGAAGCTAGCTCATTTCCATAATTCAAGCATGATGTGGTTGACAGCTCTTGCATTATGTAAATCAGGGTATGATTAAAGAATATTACAATAAACACAAGTGCAATCATGAAGTGAAGCTGTACAGGTAATACTTGTGTATTAATTGCTCTCGAATGTGGCACAATTTACTGATGCTGCAAAGAAGAAACTAGTTGATTACTACTAATGTAGGTATTTTGCATAGTATATTATGCTCACAGTTGTCCTCACTCTCAGCATCTACTTATTTGACAGTTGTGTAAATATAAATGGATTTCATGGAGCGCATAAGAATTGTGTCTTAGTCATTTATGCACACACGTACTATACTGGTATGCTCACATAATAATTTTTCCTTAAAAACTTTATACATGCATTTCACAAGCTGTTGAAAGGTACGTTTGCCATCAGTAATGTTAAATGAATTTTGATTTAATACATATGACAGCAGCAGCACTGTAGTTAAAAGGTTTATATATCTTGACATATACATTCTGTAAAATTTCCTTTCTATGAGAAATAAAGACAGAATGACAGAGGCAGACAGGGAAAGGATTTAATGACAACAATGGACAAGTGAAGAGATGAGAGAGGATGAATAAAATATACACTGCAAAGGGTGAGTGTACTATAATGGATAAGAGCTCTTATTGCTGCTACAGCTCTCAACCTTCAGTGTGAACAGTGTCACTTCAGTTAGATAGAGTTTCAGACGGGTGGCCAGAAAATGTAACGGTAAAGCCACATTATGATTAAGCAATAGTGCTGACACCACACTGTGTCAACAGACTAGTGGGTAGGACAGAAAAGGGGCACCACCCAACCTACTTTGTCCTGTAAACAGTAATGCCCTTTTCAAAAACAGATTCCTTGCACAGTGCATGTATCTACAACTGTATCTGCCAAATGGGGAAGGCATAAATGAGTCCAGTTTAGCCTAAAAAAACCCAACAACCTGTGTCTCCCTGTTTGTCCCCTCTGGACAGTGAATCCATGCCACCTGTACACCTGTTCCACTTAAAATAAAGAAAGTGGAATTTTTGATTTTCACATCTTTTCTGAAATTGATAAATGTGTTCATGGCCTTAACATTAGCATCAAGAAGAAAGGTTATGAGTGTTTTTGGTACATTTGATCAACAGTGATGAAAGTTACTATCATATTTTCTGAAAAGGGCTAAATGCATTGACCCTCAAACATACTGTCATGTACTGCCCTCTAAAGGAGTAGAACGAAATGACAGTTCATAGAGAGCTACAGTATCAGAACATTTTTTTTTGGAAGTGAGTAAATATATTATCTTTCTTGGAGCTTATTCCAGAAAGTCAGTTTAATAAACTCTCATCTTGAAACTACATTTTGTCCAGTTTTTAAACCTTCAAGTCTTTTAAGATGCACTACAGTCGTTCTCATTACATAATCAGTGATAGAATTGTCATTAATTTTACCTCATCAGTGTTATTCTTTGTTCAAAATAAACACTCACTTCAATCCTGATGCCTGCAACACATTCCAAAAAACACTGGCATTGTTGCATTTCAGAGCTAGTAATGAGGTCATTAAACAATGAAATGATGACTCCATTTGAAACAGTTGATGTCAACAAGTGACTGCAATTGTGATTTGGTACAAAGTAATAAATTTGATGAGGTATCACATCAAATGTTGTGGTGCTGTATTGTTTTCAATGTTATACATGACACAGATGATTTACAAATCACTATTTTCAATTTGAATTTTGATTTTACATACTGTCCCAAAGCGTATAACGCTTTAAAGTTTCCCCCATATTCACAGAATATGAATTTAAAATATATAAATATATATAAAATGTCATTTCTTGCACAAAACTACACTCACTTTATTTTAACTGAATATAGATAGCTTATAGGCTAAATCAGGTTAATAGGAAACCCCTCAAATATAGGCTAAATATAGGTTCAATATATTTCTTTTGTTATTATTATCATATTAATCTGACTGGGTGCCCAGACTTTCAAAAATGTCACATTTACTGTAAATTTTTAATATCACATTTAATGTCAATTTTTTTATTTAAATGTATTTATTAAGTTCATGAAATAAAGAGTGCAGTAACATTTGAAGATATGTTTACATGCTCTTAAATTTCTAAGAACAATAAAGTGTAAAAATGTATGTTTAGTTAAATGTATTATTATTTCAGTTTTATATATAGTTATTTTATTGTATATATCTGTAAATTTTAAAAACCTTGCAGCAGACTCAAATGACTACATGTCCCATGACCCTCTCTTCAAGGCGGTACTTCCGCCATTTCAGTCATTTTAGGACGTGACGGATAACAGCTTTGAGTAAACAGAGTCTTATAATTGTTAAACAGTTACATCCAGTAAGCGTTCAACCTTAGCCTATTCCTGATAGCGTTTCTTTTTTCCCGTTTTTGATGACATACTTGAGAAACGGAAGTGTCGGAAGCTTAGTTCCGGTGATGTCATTGTCAGAACTTTGTCTGATTGGTTCCGTCCTTCCTTAACAGTTTTCCCGCGCTGCAGAACAACACACTGAACCGTCAGTCAGTAGTTTCAGTAGCGTTGATATTTTATCCTTATTTCATATTGGTACCGGTGTTGTTACTCTGTTACGAAGTGATGTCATCCTCAGATTATGATCCGGCTTGTTTGCCGGACTTATTACCGCTGTACTACCGACGGCTCTTCCCCTTCTTCCAGTACTATCGCTGGCTAAACTATGGAGGAGGTGAGTATTGTTGATTACACAGAGCAGGAACATTGGTTAGCAATCTACATGGCCGAAGTTCTTGACTGACGCTGTGTAATTTGCGACCTACCTGTATGCTTCATCTTCGCAGCGTCAACTGTGGTTTTTCAGTTGACCTGATGACGTTTCTAGATTCAGCCGGCAGTCCACTCGGTAGCCTACTCATCTTAGGCTAATGCAGTCCAATCCAGCAGTCCCGCAGTGAAAATAAATATGTTAAGTTTTGTTGAAACTGTTCCAGAGAGGTGTTAATTCAACTGTATGAGCGTTTTGGAAGATGTATTCTGTGCTGCTGTTGAACTGCACTGCATTATACAGGGAGATGTGTCTATTATTTTGTCATCCCATGGCTGAATGGCCAACCAGGGTAAAGCAGGCAACTGTCCACGGGCCCTATAAGCCCCAGGTTTACCTCATATGTTTCAGAATTATATAATTTGATTAAGTATGTTCAGACTTTAGTACAGTATCACTGCTCTTCCATCTTGTGGTCTTGGTCTTGAAAAGGGCCAGTCAAAAATAACAAGGTATTCAGTTAACTGAGAAAATAGGAAAACTAGCAAATGTTCACATTTGAGAGGCTAGGACAAGCGCATTTTTGGTATTTCAAATCTTTGCCCCAGGGTCATCTAGGAGGTTAATCAGGCCATGTGCCTACCTCATTTATATTAGAGATGGTAGGCAAAATTAAAGAAGCACCTGTCAGTATAACACAATACAGTTCAACAGCACCACTAGGTTGAGGTTGTGTTTAAGAGGCAATTAACACCATATGAGACTAATTTAGTTTCTTCTACAACTTCAGTGCAGAAGAATTATTTTCAGAATCGAGAGTTCTCCTTCACACTCAAAGATGACATTTATGTCCGCTACCAGTCGTTCAGCACACAGAATGAGCTGGAGAAAGAAATGCAGAAGATGAACCCTTACAAGATTGACATTGGAGCAATATACAGTCACAGGGTAAGACTGCATGTTTCTATTAGTTGCACCCCTGCAGGATCCCGCGTCACTGCAGCTACCTTGCTGGTCTGTTTGTCACCCACAGCCGAACCAACACAACACGGTGAAATCAGGAACCTTCCAGGCTTTGGAAAAGGAGCTGGTGTTTGATATTGATATGACAGATTATGATGATGTCAGAAGCTGTTGCAGGTAAAAGGATTATGCATGATCATTTAGTTTACTCATGTTTGCAAATGATTTGACATAGTAATTCAGCATATCTTGGCAGTCACATCATTGAGATGGTGCAAATTCTAATTTTAGTGCTGCAGACATTTGCTCCAAGTGCTGGACCCTGATGACCATCGCTATCCGTGTCCTGGATAGAGCTCTTCGAGGTGGGTTTGTTGGTGATCATGTGGCAGGCATCCTCTTATATTGTCTCCAATTTTGGGTGAAATTAGCATCAAACATTATTTGTTTTATGTGATATTCCAGACGATTTCGGTTTCCAGCACCTGCTGTGGGTTTATTCTGGCAGAAGAGGAGTGCATTGCTGGGTGTGTGATGAAGCTGCCAGGAAGCTCTCTGTAGCTGCACGCTCTGCTGTTGCAGAATACCTGAGCCTGGTGAAGGTAACAATGTTTTAGCTTTTATTGGATGATCAGGACAGGTTTGTTGACCATAACTCTCAGATATCAATGTTGGTGTTTCCTTTAAAATCAAGTATCTGTATCTACAGTCTAACCCAGACAAAAACACTAATTTAGTACAGTGAAGTGAAGCACTGTAATGTTTTAAAGAACGGGGTAACACTATATCGGCTCTCCACAGCTCCAGATTTGTTTTGCTTCAATTCTAAGTTTCATCAAGACTCACCGGTTAATCATTGGATGTAACTTAGAATTTTGAAGCCTACTCCTTTCGGTACACAAGCAGGCGGTTAATGATTCATATGTTAAAGACCTGTGAGTTATTTTTTTTAGATGTGATGTGCATATGATGGTTTTATAGGGTGGTGAAGAAACTGTGAAAAAAGTAGTGCTGACAGAACCGATTCATCCTTTCATCAGGTAAGAATAGTATCGTTTTCTGTGTGAAGATCAGTTTGAAGCTGTGAACTGTGTTACTTTAGATGTGTTAGACGCAGCGGCTTTACCTCTCGTAAGGGTTTGTGCCTGTAATCTCAACAGTGCATCTTTGTCAGAGGTGGAGAGATACTTTAAACAGTATGCACTAAAGGGACAGGACATACTGGGCCGCAAGGAATCTGTAAACAAAGTGTTGGCACTCGTGCCTGAAGATATCCTTTTCACAGTATGCTGCATATTTACAGTATTTCATGAACACAGAATAGAGCTGGTAGTTACTGACACAAGCTGCATTTTCTTTTTCTCAAATGGGATTAAAATATGAGTATACATTAGGTTTTTCAGTTAGTTTAAATAATAGGTCTTCGGCATACAGAAATGTTAGTGAAAATAATTGGACTTGACCTTAACTGAGCTTTTACATGTAAGAAACGAGCTTCAGATCGATTTCAAAAATGAGAAGAACCCTGAAAAACGTTGGGATTTAATCAGCGGCTACGCCGAAACTAAACAGGTTGGAAGTTCTGTTCATACAACATAATGACAAGTGTTTGTCTTTTAACTGACATTTACACATTACTGCATTAGGGCTCTTAACAAGTGTTGCCTATTACTACGATACAACTTCCTTCCTTCAGCACACTGCCAAGAAGAACCAACACTTTGAGAAAGAAATCATGCTGCAGTATTGTTACCCACGGCTCGACATAAATGTCAGTAAAGGTGTGAACCATTTGCTGAAGAGCCCCTTCAGTGTACACCCCAAAACAGGTGAATATAGACCTAACGAGATTAAATCAAGACTGCATGGTGAAGAGGTCGCTGACTGTGACTTCTGTCTTTGGCCAGGACGCATTTCTGTTCCCATGGACGTCAAAGAATTAGACACATTTGATCCTTTTGCTGTGCCCACAATCAGGTAAGTGATAATTTAATGTCTAATGTTCTGTTGTGTGCAATGTGATACTCATTAGTTGCTGGTTATTTTTTATTCTAGCCTCATCTGTGAGGAGCTGGATCAGCCTAGAACAGGAGAAGTGGGCGAGAAGTCAGAGGACATCAAGGAGAATGAGAAGGATGCAGCAGAGAAACGAAGGATGAGAGGTGAAATTCTGAACTCTGAATTTTAATGTATCACAGACTCTTGTCTTTCACTTACTTTAAATCTCAAATTCCACTTTTAGCAGTCTAATAAAAATGAGCCTAGAGTAAATGAATGTTTCAAATTGGTGATTACTCTTCACAGATTACAAAAGAACCAGCTTGGCAAAGTATGTGAAATACTTCGATCAGTTTCTGGATCAAATGGCCTCTTCGTGGAAAGGAGAGCTGCTCAGAAAGAGTGGTATGTTGTAGTTTTGGTGGATTAAATGAAGAAAGGAAAACTTTTGAGCTGTTATCTTTTGGTATAATCTTTTTTTTTTTTCTTTTAGATCTTCAGAAAGAATTCTGAACTGGATCAACAATCACAAAGTGATTCACTTCTGAAGAGGCACCATTAATAGCTCGCTGTTGCTTCAAGTGGCTGATGATGCACAGTGTGTCCTGTTTGGAGGGGGTCTCATACTGTGGTGAAATCTTGCCAGTTATTTCAGCTTAATACATGTTTATGTTCTTATTAGATTCACTGATAATGTTTTCATAAATTAAACATAAGTAAAATAACCCCTTGCTATACAGTTTCCCTAGTACAGTACCAGTTTCCTATTGTTTTACTTGTTGCCTAAATTTTGCTACTGTACAGTCTTTTGTAAAATTAAATTTGTATGCTTTCAAAACCTGGTAATGTAGTTACTTTTATTATAAGAGGTTTTGTAAATTCAAATTATTTGAAGAGCAAGCAGAGTGATATGACGGTCGACAGTTACAAATTAGAGGTAATAGTTTTAATATTACATTTTGTACCAATACTTAAGCCAATGTGTGGAATTTGAATAAATGACATCGTTGAACCTTTTAAAAAGCCTAGATTTTTTTCCTAGATCAATGTACATATATCTTTTTCAAAAATCATTTTTGCAACTGTTCAGTATTTATGGGGTTAATTTGTTTCTTAATGATTGCAGCCATTCAGGTTTTGTCACCACACCTGTAGCAGTTGTTATTAGTGTGTTAATCCTGAATGTGTTAAGCTTTTCTCACATTATGATAAACACACATGGGCATTTGTGCAAAAGGAAATAGTAGAAAATAATATATTCCTCTCAGAAAGTGCATTTCAACTAATGAACCGAGTTTATTATTATTGTTATTGACATCCTTCAAGGATACAGATGAGTCAACTTAACTTGAGTATATTATGCTTTTTATATTCAAAAATAAGCAGTGCAGTAACATTTGAAGAAAGGCTTGTTTTACTGTATATTTGCTGCAGGGTTTGTATGTATATATTTATTCCCTTCATGCAAATATCTGATTTGCCTAGGAGTACACACATAGGAGGCCCCAGGAGAAAGATTTGTTTAGTTACACTACTTTCATTATTTTCCCAGGCACCCAGAAACCAACCAGTGCTCTCAAGCTGAATGATTCTGATAGAAAGAAAGTCAGTTGGCAACAATTTATTTAACTTATTAAATTCTCTGGGTATTTTAAAGCAACATTTCAGGGTTAAAATTAGAAGCTGCTTTATTGGCAGTCACAGAATGTGACTGGTACAGAGCCTCTCAATATGTTTTGCAAGGTAACATGAAAAAAAAGTTAAATAAAAATGTGTGCATTCAGAATAGGTAAATATGTGCAAACAAATAGGAAAGAGAACAGGGAAAAAGGAGAATCTAAATATATACTGTATACATATTGTGGTAGAAGAGCTTTCAGACTGATATATACATTGGGTTGCACTGGGGTGATTGCTGTGTCCCGTCACACAAGCATGGATTAACAGCTCATGACTGGTGGCATTGGTGGGGAAGAAACCGTCCGTGTGTCTGCTTGTTTAGGCTACAGTGTTCTACGGCACTGTCCCAAGGGGAGAAGGTCAAATGTTTTGTGTCCAGGGAGTGAGTGGTTTGCACTGGTATCAGCTTTTAAAATGTTGGTTACTGCAATCCTAGAGTATAACTTTGTTAATAATTTTACTCAACATTACAAACTAAACATGATGGATTAATAGGCTACTACCTTGCTCTACATTTGATGTGTTTTATTTATTTATTTGGAAAAGTAGAAGCTATTTGATAAAACAACTTTACAACAAATGAGCAACTAAGTCTTTTGACAGGTCCCTCTTCAACCTCAGGATGCAGGAGCAGTCATAGTTCTGATAAATGTGTCATCCATCCTTGACATTAAAAACATTAAATCAGATACGATCGTCTGAGAACCAATATTTTGATAATTCTAGTAGTCTTTTCAAAAATGTAGTATATGAAAAGGAACTTGGAATGTTATGTAAAAACAAAAACTGCCAATTGTGTCTTTAAATGGCCCGGAAGAAGAACCGCGGCTTCGGGGCGGATATCACCGTGAAACTGGGGTCAGAAGTTCTTTCTCACAGCCATCTTGGATATAACGTACTGAGTCGGTGAGTGTCTCTGATGATAATCCAACATCATCCAGCTGTTTTCACATGTCCCCGTGTTTGCTAAAGGTTTCGCGTGGTTAATTAAAGACGTGTCAATAGACCGGAACAGTTATTATTCTTTTACCCTTTGTCTGTTAAGTGTTCCGTTGTTTCACCGATTACCGGCTCAAAATGGGGGAACATGACTACCAGTTTTTGCTAGCAGCCTGTCAAGGCCCCAGTGAACAGTGTTACAAGGGATGTGAGGTTCAGTTGTGTGACACCTAGATGGTTACTTTACAGATGTCTTTTTGGAGGTAAAAGATTATGGCATACTTAGGTATTTGGTGTTAGTTTTCACCTGTTGACACTGACGCTGCTAACTGACGGAACTAATGCTAACGCTAGCTAAATGTCGCTAAAGCATGGGCTCTGTCACCTGTTTAGCCAGTTACACTAACTGCAACTCTGGGTCTAAATTAGCTATAGACTCCGTGCTAAGGTTACTGATCCATTATGTGTCAAAGAGGCTGTCCCATAATGCTTAACGTTACGATGCTGTAATTGGCTTCCGAATCGTGTGTCTCACAAAACTGCTAAAAACAGCTGTAAATCGCCTTTAGCCTCCCTTTGATCATCTAGTCCCGGTTGAAAAGTCTGGAGGTCTGGTGCGTCCCGGATGGGAAAAAGGCTGTGACATCGGCCTTTTAGAGTTTTTAATTTTCACAAATATAACAACGGCTTCACAAGTGCGGCTGTCCCCTAGAACATCTGTTGTGCCTGTGAAATGTTGATTTGGTAAGCCTTAGTTGGGTGGATTTTAACTGAGACCTAGTCTCATCAGAATCATCTTTATTGGCCAGGTGTGTTGGACACAAGGAATTTGACTCTGGTACATCGGATCTCAATGTGCATGTGCATATCCCCATGCAAGGGGCACGTAAACAATAAACCAACATAAGGCTGTGTAGTATAACTAAATAAACAGCATAAACAAGCAATAAACAGTGCAAACAATGCAAAATAAGCAGTATAAACAGGCAGTAAACAATACAGACAAAGGAGTGTTCATTAGGAAATGAGATAAATAGGAATAAAAATAGAGACTTGTACGGTGCATGTGGTCAACACTGGGGGAGCAGAGAATTAAATCACTCTTTCAGATATGAAATTGTGTCTTAAACAGTTACTAGTTTGTGTTTTAATCATATATATGTGTGACAGGTATGTTTTCATGTAGAAATAGCCGATTGCTTTTTTGTTTGTTTTTTTAATGGTGGGGGTGTTAAAAAAGTGAAACTACCATGTGCACTGCCAGTCAAAAGACTAGACACATTTCCACTGAATTAAATAGGAAAGTGTGTCCAAACCTTTGACTGGTAGTGTATAGTTGGGGCTATGAAGACTTCTAAGAAACAGTTGAACTGAAAAATTGTTTCCTCATTTTACTTAACTAGCAACCATGCCTGGTGAAGCCACAGAAACGGTCCCAGTCACCGAACAGGAGATGCAGCATCCTCAAGTGGAGACTGGTTCGTATATTTAAGCTTCACACAAACATGCATGCAGTCCTGCATATTAAATGATGGGGTCCTGGAACTCAAAAACGTGAATTGGTCCACAAATAACCATCTATGGAAGGTAATTTGTTGACACTGGGTGGTTATTTTGTCTAGGGAATTAACTCACTCTCTTTCTGAGTTCATGGAGCAGCTGACAGTTACTTTGATTGTGACCAGCCATGTGTTGGGGCATTTGTCACAGGAGGTTGCTTGCTGAGGGATTTTCAGTAGTGATATTGCTTGGCTTGGTTGATCCAGGACCCCAGTTTTTAGTTACACAAACTCACAGTGGCATGTGGTGATTTGGACTAACAACTGGATTGTAGCGCACAAAGCATGGTGTTAAGTGTGGTTTTTCATGTGCACAATAAAAGCCCGTTGACTGGATGCATCCTTGTTGGTGATGACAAAGGTCATTCTGTGTCGCGTATTTATTTTAGCCTGATATTTAAAGTTTTTACTTTAGTCATGAATTTTGTCTAGGGGTGGGACCTTTTAACAAATTTTTGTAAACAAGTACCAACAGATTTTTGCCAACACCTGTGTTGTTGTTTTTTTTGTTTTGTTTTGTCCCCCCCCCATATGGCATTTTTTTTCCTTCAGGCATTGAAAGTAAAAATATCTTTTAATTTATGCATGAAGCTATAAAATGTTTGGACATACAGCCACCACCCTTTAAACTGTTTTTTAACCCTTTGAGAGCCCATGTAAGCTTTTATGCACTGGTAGGCCTGTTACAAGTTTGATGTTACAGGTTGCAAAAAAGTAGGCTACAGACGGAATGTGAAAAACGGCAAAAGATTAAAAGCTGAATAAATCTGTATAACTAAAATTTAAATAAAATGAGGTCCTTAAACTTCACTCTGGTTTGAAAATGAACAGAGCAAGAAACTGAGGGATTCTTGTGATTAGCAGTTAATGCAACTCTATGAACTATGTTATATGGAAAGTTAAAGTCGGCCCTGTGGAGGTTGGTTGGAGCCAAGTCAGCTGTCTCTCTGCTAGGTGAGTTGGGTGTAAAAGGGCGGAGCCTAAGACTCGTAACTAGGAATCTGATAGTGCAGCAAAGGTCAGTGAGTGGCTCTGCAGCAGAAGAAAGGTGCATGTGAATGCGGTAAAAATAGGTAAGTGATTTATATATGGGAACATTATGGCTGTAAAGCTGAAGTCAATTAGCGTAAGAGGACATGCACATGCAGCAAGCTCAAGGCCTACCTCCTGGTGTTAACATGAGGGCATAGAAATTTGACTGGTTTGTTGGAATGAAACACAGGGTGGTTTCTGATGCAGAAGTGTGGCTAGTTACCTGGTTGGCTGTTTGAAATGTTTTTAAATGTTTGGTGGCTTGAACAACAGTTGAAATGTTTGCTAGTGCTGGTGACTGGTATTGTTATATCAGGGAGGGTGCAGGAGTTGAATATTTAATTTGTGCATATTTCTATTTAAATAGTTCATAATCAGGCTATTTGGTATCTGCCTATACTGGCAAATCAACAGCTAGTTCCACACAGCAGAATTTCATCAGTCATTGTTTCTGTTCACATGTTGAGCACAATTATTTTTACATAAGTGTATTTATGAGCTCCTGAAATTTGCATTAATCAAATAAAATTGCTCCTCAAAATACCTCTGAGTGCCCCTTCCTTTGTTACTGTTCCCTCATCAGTTACAGGAATATTGAATTCTTCTCCTTCTCCTGAGATGGTTGTTCCTGCAGTGAACAAGGCAGTCTCGCTGGAGAATCCTCCAGAAACCTCTCAAGAGTTAAGCTCATCAGAGGAAGCTGGCATTCAAACTAGTAGTGATCAATCAAGTGGTATAGCTGCAACTAAAGCAAACTGAATAGAGTAGATTGGAGGCAACAGAAAGGGACAAATGCTGACCCAGCAGGGATTTTAACTAGTTTGCCAGTTCCTAAAGAATCCATGCCTCCTTCTGAGGCTCCAACTGCGATTGTACAAATTTGGGAGTCAGCTGTTGCTTCTGAAGAAATGGCCAGCAAAGAGGTCAAGCTGATTTTTGTTGAAGTAAAGGTCAGGGTCAAGGAAGTAAAGGTAAAAAAAAATTCTGACTGTCCAAAAGCATCTCTTCCTGACAATGTCAGTGTGAACTGTGAAGGCTTCAGTAGAAGGCCAGAGGAGCCTTTGTCTGGATTCTTCTCAAGGTGAAGAATTTTCTGATGTGATTGTTGATGAGGCTACTCAAAATGAGTCTGGACAAGAAAGAACCTGTTATACCTCTCTTCAAGGCCGTTCACTCAAAAGGGACAACCAAATGTGAAAGCCAACTTTCTGCCTGTTACCTGACATGTAGGTTTAAGCAAAGAGGCCCCCACCCCCACACACCCCTGTCCTGGTCTCCCAAATACAGCTTTTTGATCAGCTTGGGCCTATATTCCCAGTGATATTTGCAGCTTCAGAAAGTTGGTAAATGGCTTAATGCCACTCCACTGCCTCTGTTAGTGTTTTTATTCGGGGTGGGTCATGGCTTGATCATAGTTTGATATTGCTTTTGTGTGCATGTAATCTTCTCTAAAAGGATAGTTGTTCTTTATAACCTGGCAATCTTTTTAGATTTTGTCCAACTGATCATGTCCCACTCACCGCCAGTCACAACTGCTGATTTTTAAAGTGGACAGATTATTTGGCTAGGAACTGCTTTGTTTGACTAAAGTGCATTTTTATCAACTCTAATATTCATTTTTCATATTTTGGAAACTATTATTAATTGTGCTTGTGTTAAGTTGCACAGGATTGAATACTTACCAAGTTAATTTATTTCACCTGTTGGCAAATGTTTCCTTGGCTCACCACTTCGGTGGTGGTGTGTGCGGCGTTGTTCTGTGTAAAGGGGTTACTTGAACATGAGATGCGGTGATGTGCATTGCGAATATCATTGTCCTTTTTATTGTAAATGCATTGTGACTAAATACAGAGTGTGGCTTTCTGTGTGGAAGTAGGTAGTATGTACTATGCATTCTTGGATGCAGTTTGCATTACAGTTTGGTGGGGTGTGTTCTTTTCCTAACCCTAAGAAAGGTAATTTTGTTTTGGATTGTGATCATTTAACCCGCATGAGTAAGGCTTGAACTTTTTTTTAAATTTTTTTTTTAAAGAAAATCTTTTTCTATTCAGCTGCACCTCCTGCCCCAGCTTCATCCCAGCAACCTCAGGCAGCTTCTGGCCCTGCTAAGCCCAAAGGCAAAGATGCCAAGAGTGTGCAGGGTTCTTCAGCCCCAAAGGCTGTCCCTGGCAGAAGAAAACGCTCCTCTTTGTCTGCCTCCTCCTCCTCTCCCTCCTCACCAAAATCTACTCCCACCTCTACCCCCCTGTCCCCTGTGACATCTCCTCTGGCTTCCTCACCTGGCAGCTCTTCTGTTAATCAGGCTAACCGCTCAACCCCCAAAGTTGTCAAGGCTGGAAAACAAGGAAAAGCTAAGAAAGGAGAGGCATTTGTGCCTGCTTCTTCCTCTCAGGATTGTAAGGTCACAGCAACAAATGATAAAATAGGCGAGACAAACATCAAGCAAACTGTAGTTGCAGCTAAATCTGCTCCAGTTGAGCCTGAAACTCCGGCACCAGCTGCTTTAAAAGTTACTTCAAAGCCTCCTGTAGGATCTCCAGTTTTATTTTCAGATGATCCTGTGTCTAGTTTTTCCAGATCAGTTGAATTTAAGGCAGCTTCATCAAAAGCTGTCCCTGTTACTGCCTTTACTGATGATGAGCTCCCTCCCCTTATCCCACCTGAGAAGCCAGTTAGAATACCAGTATTTGTACCAACTGTTGAGAAAGAAGGTGCAAAAGCTCCTGTTGAGACTCTCAAAACTGTGTCCAAGCCCAAACCTGTTGAAACTCCCAAAACAGCACCCCCAAGTAAACTTGCTCCCACTGACACTGCTAAGCCAGCAACTGAGGCCAAACCGGCTCCTGCTGCTAAGACGGCAGCTGAGGCTAAACCCTTCCTCCCTGATGTTGCTAAGCCAGTAGCTGAGGCCAAACCTGCTCTTTCTGAGTCTCCTAAGACACCAGCTGAGGCCAAACCTGCAGCTATTGCAGCTGCTAAGCCACCAGCTGAGGTCAAGCCTGCTCTTGCTGAGACTGCTAAGCCAGCGGCAGAGGCCAAGCCTGCTCCTCCTGCTGTTAAGCCAACAGCTGAGGCCAAACCTGTGGCTGCTAAGCCAGCGGCTGAGGCCAAGCCTGCTCCTCCTGCTGTTAAGCCAACAGCTGAGGCCAAACCTGTGGCTGCTAAGCCAGCGGCTGAGGCCAAGCCTGCTCCTCCTGCTGTTAAGCCAACAGCTGAGGCCAAACCTGTGGCTGCTAAGCCAGCGGCTGAGGCCAAGCCTGCTCCTCCTGCTGTTAAGCCAACAGCTGAGGCCAAACCTGTGGCTGCTAAGCCAGCGGCTGAGGCCAAGCCTGCTCCTCCTGCTGTTAAGCCAACAGCTGAGGCCAAACCTGTGGCTGCTAAGCCAGCGGCTGAGGCCAAGCCTGCTCCTCCTGCTGTTAAGCCAACAGCTGAGGCCAAACCTGTGGCTGCTAAGCCAGCGGCTGAGGCCAAGCCTGCTCCTCCTGCTGTTAAGCCAACAGCTGAGGCCAAACCTGTGGCTGCTAAGCCAGCGGCTGAGGCCAAGCCTGCTCCTCCTGCTGTTAAGCCAACAGCTGAGGCCAAACCTGTGGCTGCTAAGCCAGCGGCTGAGGCCAAGCCTGCTCCTCCTGCTGTTAAGCCAACAGCTGAGGCCAAACCTGTGGCTGCTAAGCCAGCGGCTGAGGCCAAGCCTGCTCCTCCTGCTGTTAAGCCAACAGCTGAGGCCAAACCTGTGGCTGCTAAGCCAGCGGCTGAGGCCAAGCCTGCTCCTCCTGCTGTTAAGCCAACAGCTGAGGCCAAACCTGTGGCTGCTAAGCCAGCGGCTGAGGCCAAGCCTGCTCCTCCTGCTGTTAAGCCAACAGCTGAGGCCAAACCTGTGGCTGCTAAGCCAGCGGCTGAGGCCAAGCCTGCTCCTCCTGCTGTTAAGCCAACAGCTGAGGCCAAACCTGTGGCTGCTAAGCCAGCAGCTGAGGCCAAAGCTGCTCCTGCTGAGGCCATTCCCGGTACTGCTACTAAGCCAGCAGCTGAGGCCAAACCTGCTCCTTCTGAAGCTGCTAAAGCAGGTGCTGGTGCCAAGTCTGTCTCTGACATTGCTCCACAACAAGGTAAAGAAAATGAAGCTGCTTTTCCTAAGATGGCAAAGCCAGATGCAGATGTCAAGTCTGCCTCTGTTGCAGTTGTCCATCCAGCTGCAGAACCCAAACCAGCTGCCGGTGAGGTTCCAAAGCAGGTGCCTGTGAAGGGCCCCAAGTCAGTTACTAAGGCTAATTTGGTTGAGGTGAAGGCAGCGCCTCCTGAGGTTGCTAAACTAGCAGATGAACTTTTACCTCCTCCCTTAAAACCCACTCCAGTTGAGACTGCTGTACCTGCTGCAGCTCCCCGTAAACTCACATTTGCTGAGGCAGTTGCAAAACCTTCCCCTTTTAAACCTGAGGTTGAGGTAATCAGTACAGCTCCCTCTGAACCAGTCTCATCACCCAAACCTGCCCCCACACCTGCTAAAACCCCAGCCAAGGTGGAGCCTGAGATCAAGAACGACAAGGGTATTTTTATCTTTCTCTCCTTTTTGTGCCATCTGTTCTTCCAACTGTCACTGCATTCTGGCAGCTGCTCATATGCTTAGATAAGTCATTCTCATGAAGTTTGCGCTGTATGAATTAGCTTTGATTTAAGCTGTAAGATATTTCACATGGATGCTTCTGGTTTTGAAAACAGTTCTGTTGTATATTGTCACTCATAGTTTTGTGCCGTTTCATTTCTGATTATTATTTAGTTATTGCAGTGTCTTGTCAGTCTGGTGAATGTGGTATTGGACGAGTACTATTTTTCTCCTGATGGTATACAGTATGTATATACTGTAGGATCTTAGCAGACTCTTTTGCAGGCTCCAAGTTCAGACAATACAAACATACTGTCTTAAATCACTTGGTATCTATTCTTATTCCACAGGGATGATGCAGCTTATTTGCACAGTAACTTTTAAGTTGTATACCTGTATAATAGACCGCATGTTGTGACTGAATTAAGGTTTCTGTTGGTGGTTTCCATAGGATCCGGCACAGAGTCAGAAAGTGACGACTCAGTCCCTGACCTGGAGGAACAGGATTCTGCACAGACACAGACACAAGCTCAGGTGAGACTTCGGTCTGGTCTTCAGTATCGTGTTTAATGTCGACTTGAACCCAACAGTTAAGATCATTATGCGTATGTCAGTTTTGACTCTTCAGTGATGATGTATACAATGACTTTCGTTCTTCTGAGCCTACTGAAGCCAACATTTGTTCTGAGAAGAGAAACTATTAAAACCTCTGACTAGCATCACATTTTAGCAGGTCTATATTTACTTGCCATTGAATTAGGATGTTTTGTACCTTTATAGCTTGCAGCAGCCGCTGAGATTGATGAGGAACCTGTCAGCAAAGCCAAACAGAGCCGCAGTGAAAAAAAAGCACGAAAGGTAACACTCTTAATTACTGTATTGTTGTCTAAACTGTGCTTGTCTGCTTTCTTTTTAGTGAAGACTTAAAATTGCCCACATTAAAATAACTTCTTTCTTGCAGGCGATGTCAAAGCTTGGTCTGAGGCAGGTAACAGGGGTCACCAGGGTCACCATTCGCAAGTCAAAGAACATCTTGTTTGTTATTACCAAACCAGACGTCTACAAGAGCCCTGCATCAGACACATACATCGTCTTCGGTGAAGCTAAGGTAAATAGCCAGCGATGATCCAACTTTGTCCCTTCTTGTGCTGTCAAAGGCTTACACTGCTACTAATATCTTTTTGCATGGGTTTCAAAATAATTTAGCATATGGTGATTGTTAAACTGTTACAAAATGTCCTCAGTTAACTGTTATTACCAAATAATGTATTGGCTTCTCATTTTACACTATATTAACTTCCCAGATCGAAGATCTTTCCCAGCAAGCTCAGCTGGCAGCCGCAGAAAAATTCAAGGTACAGGGAGAAGCCGTATCAAACATCCAGGAAAACACACAGACGCCAACAGTACAGGAGGAGAGCGAAGAAGAGGAGGTAATATGTGGTTTTATTCAAGTGAAAAGAGACGCACAATGTATTACTCCAGCAGTATGTAAGGTGTTACAAATTTCTGCCCCCTGGTATTTTTATAGGTGGATGAGACGGGAGTTGAGGTCAAGGACATTGAACTTGTCATGTCACAAGCCAATGTGTCACGGGCAAAGGCTGTACGTGCCCTGAAAAACAACAACAACGACATTGTCAATGCTATTATGGTAAGAGTTTAAAACCCTTTTCTAGCAGTACACATTCTAACACATAACAGTACAAGAGATTTCAAGTTGGTTCAACTTGGAAACACAAGTTCACCTGCTGCCTTGAAAATGCAACTAAAATTAACTTAGGTTGAACACTGTTGTTTTGGGAGTTTTAAAAATTTTCAAATAACTCGTCTAAGTGACCTAAAACAAGTTGAAAAAAATAAAAATATTAAGTTAACTCAGCTTACAGATACATGGGAACTCAGTACGTTATATTTGTTCTACATTTCTCAGTTTAAAGTGTCAGTACTTCATGAGGAACTTGCTGTGCTTGTACCAGTCAGTACAAGCACATCATATTAGATTGCTGAGTGTGTGGGGGCCATGGCTGAATTCAGTATTAACCCTCATCATGGTTTGCATTGTTTTCAATTTTATGAAAAGAAACAACCATCATTTACTTTAATATGTATTACAAATGGTTTTCACTATGAATGTGCTTTTCAAAGTACAGAAAAGAAGAGTTTCTGAAGAGTTTTAACTCTCCAGCAAGGCATGCTGGGAAGTCTATTGGTTTTGTTTCTTTAAAACATCATTGAATGAGTTGAGTGAACTCTCAGCAGTTTGTTCATTCAACTCATTTCAAGTTTCAGAACAACTCGTGTTTAAGTTTTAAAGTGGTCTGAAAATGAAAAACGAGATTTTACACGTTGAATTTACTTGAAATAACCAAAACTTACATATTGGTTTATATAACAAAACAAGCTTAGGTGATTCCACTAAATTCCTGTATCATGTTTTCCAGTGTAGTCAAATGGTAGAGTCTTTATTCAGCAAGGCTTTTCATGTGAGATGGTGTGCTAGGTTTCTCATGATAAATGTGTAAGGATAACTATTTGTTGATGATTACAGTGACTTTCCTTGTTCTGAGCTTACTGAAGCAAACATTTCTGTTCTGAGAAGAGTAGATATTTTTAAAACAGTGTAATTGTGTAATAAAACATTTTTTGAACAAACCTTTTTGTTATTCCCTTTGCAGGAGTTGACGATGTAATGGGACCCTGGCAACAAAGAATTGAAGAAGGGTTGCTGATTTGATTTAAGCTTGTTTATACAATTTATACCCAAGATGGAAATAAAGTTGTGGCTTGATAAAATGAAATTTTGTTGTTTTTTCACTTTATTGGGAAATGGGACCTCTGCTGTAAGTTGAATATTTTAGCCTGAATAAAGCATGAGTCCCTAAAGAGCGTACTGAACCCTAACCCTGAAAGTACTGTAAATATGTATTTATAATATGGTTTTCCATCCATTTTTTTAATATCTACATAGTCAAATTTATGGTTTGGCAAGACAATTGAGGAATCGGAGGAGAACTGAGATTTGGGCTTGTGGCCCCCGATTTAAGGTGACTGCTAACCATGGAGCTACTATGATAACTTAATATTTTATTTTTGTTTTCCACATATATCAATTTGAAACTATGTGGGCGACTGTGTTGGAGTTCATGTGCTTGTCATTGTCTTGAATTAAATGATCAAATATGGAACTTGTATTAAGCAGTAGTGAATAGAACTGACTCCAGGTCGTACTTTGAGAAATTAAATGTGGCTATGTAAAGCTGTGTATATGAACATTGTAGTGTAATGACAAATACATCAATCCGAGGGGTATTAAGGTTATTAATTAAAAAGAAACCTCTGCAATATATGTTTACATCCTTGGTAAATGCACCTATCACTGTCTACTATGAAAGAAACATACCTAAAAAAACACTATATTGTATAGCAACCAGAGGTGGAAAGTATCGAAGTACTGTGCAAAAATATACCATTTTGAGGTTTCTGTACTTGAGTATATTCATTTTCTGATACTTCACAATTTGACTTTACTACATTTTAGAGGCACAAATTATACTTTTTACTCCACTATGTTTATTGGATAACTTAATCACTAGCTGCTTCTTCAGAATCCAATTAACTACACATGTACAGTATGATCATGAGTTAACTGATTCCTAAAGCAGGAAATTCACAAGCTACCCAGTAGTAATTAAAATTGTAAGTATATAAGGTAGTTTAATTAGCTTCACTTTTACAAGCTGCAATGATAACGTGAAAAAAACAATAATACACCAATAATTATAATCAAACAACATATCAATGTAAAATGTGTTATTTTGCATGACTAAGTATATTTTGGTGCTAATGCTTTTGCACTTTTTAATCTAGCACTTTTACATGTAATAGTATTTTTACATTGTAGCATTGTTACTTAATAAGTAAACAATTTCAGTAATACTTATTCCACCACTAATAACTATTAGTAAATTATATTGAGTGCAGACCACGCCATTGGCGTGTAAATTGCGTGTATTTTGTACGTGTATTTTCCTTCCGACATTACATCCTAACAGGGTGGTACGGAGTCCATAGCTTGAATTGTTCTGAAAGTAATATAATTTTATTGTTGACTAATGTTTCATACAGTGACATGCGATTTACTTCAACTCTCTGAAAACACTGGTATGCCTGCCTTTTAAAGGGATAGTAGTTTATGGCTGATGCCTTGTATTCGGTTTTTCTTTTTATTATTTCTTCTTCTTTCCTTTTTAATTGTTTTGTATTGTTTTTTAGTTTTTGAACTTGGACCTTGAGTCTATAATAAAGTGTCATTTATTCATTCATAGCGCAGCACACGTTTAGGTTTGTGGAAGATTAAATGCTTCCTCCTTCCCATCATGCCCAGCTGTGGCTGAAAGCTCTAGAAACGTCTAGTACGCGCTTGCTGCGTCAGTACTGCCATTCTTATAACGGGATACGCAAGAAAACCCGTAGTTTTGTAGTCCACAGACTACAGGCGTTTGCACTGGTTGTGTGCGTGCAGCATTCATTCTTTTGCAGACATTGCCGTCCTTTTTTAAAGATTGTTTTGCTGCGAAGAACAGACTAATTTCACGCCGCGACATGTAAGTTATGAACAGTTTACTCGATGATATAACAGAAAAAAGTGCGATAGTGCAATCTACTTAGCTAGCTAACGCTGGCCGTCTGACAACATGCTTTTTCAAAGGCGGGAGGTTGGCCTTGCTTCAGTGAACTGTAAGCTAACAGTAATTCGCTACATAGATGGGATCTTGCAGGCCGGATAAAGGAATACGTTTAACGGTTACAGCTGTTATAGCAGACTCAGTCCCCCAGCGTTAGCTGAAAACGACTGCTTTTTTTAACACTATGAGTCAGGTGCACCGCATGGCTTAACTAACGGTGGCTAACGTTAGCTTGGCTAGCTGAGTGCTCATTGAATGGCTAAGAGGCTATCATGAAATTAGCACCAGGTCTGTGTCAGAAGTCATTGTATTAGCATTAAAAATGGAAAGTGGGGATTTTAACAGCAAAGACGATCCTGTTCCTATCCTCCACAAAGTTGCGATGGGACTGAGCAACATTCAGCGTCAGTCCTCATTTTTATTTAATGCTAGCGTCCATACACTGCCATGTTAACGCTAGTCCACGGCCATTGGTAAGAGGATTTGGCTGGCAAGGCCATCAATTCAGTCCTTGTAGCTGATAAAAGGTCTACCAATCTTGTCTTACATAGAAGCGTCCAACCTTATCAATAAGGGGTCAGTGAGGCGTATTAATTAGTAGTGACGTTAACCATATACATGTAACTGTACTGGAGGTAAGCTGCTCACTGAAGTAGTTAATGATAAGTTTGTAATAATGGGGGATGACAGAAATTTAGCAACCGCATTGATAATTGATTATTGGGTGAAACATTTGCTGTTTGCAGTTCAGATTTGCTGATTTTATGCAGTTCTTTACATTATAGTAAGCTAAATATTTTTCAGTTTTACTTTTACTATTTAAATAAAACAAGGCACTTCAAGATGAGTAAGTCACACCTAGGAACTTTGAATAGAGCATTTGTTGGAAAATGCCAATAGCATTGAGGCTGCTACTAATGATTATTTTCATTATTAATCTGCAGAACAGTTTCTCAATTATTCAGTTGGTCTTTCAGTCAAAAAGTGTATAAGGTGATGTCATTCAGTTGGTTCTTTCACCAGTCAATAGGCCCCAAAAACTTTAGTTTTCCATCCAACAGAACAAAGAGGTCAGTCCTCACAAATGAGATGCTGGAACTATGGAGTTTTTGTTGGAAATTGGTCGTTCAAGTACATTTTTGTTAGCAAAATTGTTAATTTATTATGTACATTGACTAGTTGGTTAATTTATTTAGCTGTGAAAACTTTTACAGTAATATGGTACATAAAAAAAAAACCTTAGCTGAATCATCCAAAATATCTTGTTAATTTGACTTTCCTCATTTTTATATGCAGAGATTAATTAAAATTTTATCTGTATAACACCATTTCACAACAGAAGCCATCCCAGGTCACTTTACAAAGTAAGGTCTAGATAATAGTAAGGTCTTACTATTATTATTATTATTATTATTACTATTACTGTAGAGGAAAAACCCAACAAATCCCGTTTGAGATGAGAGGCTTATTGATACAGGAGCACACTGTGTAATTGGATGCTATGTGGCAACCCAATACATGGTGCTTTTTTGATGGCAGGCTGTTGTGTCCAGGATGTGCTAACCTGTACTGCACAGGTGTGTCATTTATTTTATGTGAGTTGTAGAGCTGATGAGCTGTAGTGTTTTACACATGAGAAAGCTTTGCATGTTTATAAAGTCGTTATTCTTTTTTAACCAGATTCATATTGTTAAAAGCTCTATTTTAAGGTACAATAAGTTACACTTGGCTAAACCACTAAGTTCTGTAACAGACTGTTTATGTGTTGACGCTTGGATGCCTCTGTTTCTCCACAGGCATCCTGCAACTGCCAAGTGGTATGACAGGAGGGACTGTGTTTTTATAGAGTTCTGTGTAGCAGACAGCAGAGATGTTAAAGTCAATTTCGATAAAACAAAGTGTGGTTTCAGGTATGTTTCCCTCACAGTGGCTCTCAAAATATGAACATGCATTTGATTGTTTTTGTTGATTCCAGTCTTTAAGTTCTCAAGTGTCATCTTCTAAATACATTTGCTACAGTTGTGGAATTGTACATTAATCTGAGACTTGCTAATTATTTTATATGTGCTTGGCTAAATGCGCGTTTGTTGTTTCATTCTTTCTGAAAGTTGCTTGTTTTCTTCCCACAGTTGTCTTGGAGGAACTGACTGTGTTAAACATGAGAATGAAATAGACCTTTTTGACACCATTGATGAAAATGTAAGTTATACTGAGTGTCTGAATCACTGCTTTGATTACGATTACTATTGCTTTATAATGCTTACACGATACTGCATATTACATTGTACATAATGTAGCCAGGAACTGATCACACACTACTGTTTTCTTTCCACTACAACTCAGGAATCGAAACATAAACGCACAGATCGCTCAGTGTTGTGCTATTTACGAAAAGCACAGCCGGGGAAGGCATGGCCAAGACTAACAAAAGAGAAGGCTAAGGTCAGTTACACATACACAAACAGCCATTAATCGTGAAAGACTGGGTGTGGAATAGATTTAACGGTTAATAGTACAGTAGAGTATTGATGCACCAATACTACTTTATTTTTCCAGGCAGAGTACAATTAGTACCCTAATTTGAGTAAGCTACTGACACAAGTAATTAAAATAATGCAGTGTTTACATAATAAAAATTAGGATAAGGATAATCACCTTTATTGGCCAAGTATGTTGTACACAAGGAATTTGTTTCTGGTACAGAACCGAGGCAGCCATCTGCAGTGCCAACTCAACCGATGGCTCTAACCATCAGGGGCAATGGGGGGGGGGAGACTATAACATGAAACTCTGTAGCATACTGCGCAATGTACTGTAATACAGTGGTATTTAACTTTTTAAAAAAATTTTTAAGCAGTGCAACCCTCTATTATGGTGAAAAGATTTCACGACCACATTAGAACGTCAAAG